AATCCTCTCAAAAAAAAAAAAAAAAAAAGAAAGAAAGAAAGAAAAAAGAAAGAAAAGAAAAAAAGATCCAAGTTTGCAAAACCTCTGAATAATTTCCCTGAGAGTTCTAGGTTTTTGTGGATTAATTTAAAAACCAATAATCGTTTTAACATAGTAAAAAATATTTTTGAGGACCCAGCAGGTGGTATAGTGATTAAGGTACTAGACTCCCACGTGGTTGCCTGCAGTTCAAGTCCCAGACCCAGAGGCTTGAAACTCACCCCAAGTGCATGTGTGTGGTGCCCAAAATTCTGAGAGGTGAATGGAGGAGAAAGGATTGTGGTGTGGCCATCCCCCCTGGGGGGATGATTTCTCTCTTCCTATCTGTCCGTCTCTTTTTGTCTCTCCAGCCTAAACTCATGCCCTAATAGCAAAAATATCTCTAAAAAAATTTTTTTTGAAAAAAAAAATTCACTTACAAATGGCACAAAGGCACTCCATGGGTGACAGAAATATTCTAAGACTGGAATAAGGTGATGATTAAACAACTGATGTTATGTTCATGTTCATTCACTAAAAATTTGCTAAACCCAATGAATTGTATATGCTTACAATAGACAGCCCCACAGTATGATACCTCAGTGAAGCTCATCAAACTTTCCAAAAATACATCTAGTCCTTTAACCTAAAGTCAAACACAGTTGTTATCTTTATAAGTCATAAGTAATTTATCACTGATTTCTTGCCAAACATGCCCTCTCCATATTTATTTCCACTCATGGCCACACCATTCTCTCAAGGGCAAACCTCAGTCTTTTAGTTCCTCTCACCCTTGGCTGTCAGCTCTACTCTGCCCCCATCTGCCTCCAACATACAGCTCTCGTGTTACTTCTTCCCCACCTCCCTGCAGCAAGCTAAGCTCACTCAAACAGAACCAGGAGAATGATCACCTAATCAGTTTTCCCGCCATCTCGCAATACCCCACAGGCCCTAATTCAGCCTCATTGTGGGGTTAATCTTACTAAAATTCTGTTCTTGTCCTATAAACCCATACGGAGTTCAGCCCTACCACCTATAGGATAAAATCATCAACCTGGTGGTAAACTGGTCACACGAGAGTTGAGGCAACTAGACATGGCTCACTGCACAGTTCAAGTGCCAAACCCAGCAGCTTGAAAAACATGCCAAGTACATGTGTATACATGTCCCAAATCCCAAGAGGAGAATGGAGGAGAAAGGACTGTGGCATGGCCATCCCACCTGGGATGCGAAAGCACCCCTCACCCAGCTCTCACTGGTGAACACATGCACCATATTTTTTTTTTCCTAGTATTTAAGGTCCCAGAAATCACACCCCAACCTACCTATTAAGCCTTATATCCCCCACTACTTTAATTCATTAACCCTCTACTCTGTGTCAATGAACTAAAACAAACCTTAGACTTCCCACCCTAGGCCTCTGATTATAACGTCTTCTTGAGCTATCCTCCTCATTTTCTTCCATTTCTACTCATTCACTAAGGCCTGTTTCCAATCCCTCTCCTTCTGTTAAGTTTCCTAATGCACACACACACACACACACACACACACACACACACACACACAAATCTATCTTAAATAATATTCAGTAACTAAATAATACATGAGATATTATTATATTAAACCTTGTTAAGCTACTGGGTCATCGAGAAAATCATAATGCATTTTTGAATAGAAAAACAGAAAAATACTTTATGACTTTCCTGACAATCTAATAATATACATGGAAAATAATAATATTCAAGTGCTAATACATCTACAAATACCATAAGGGTTCTGGGAGAGAAGGAATCTTACTTCATTCATTTCACATACCCTGAGAGCACCAGTAACAATGGGCCACACTAACTAGGTATATGATAACTATCTGATGAATGAACAAAAGCAAATGAGGAGATAGGCATGGACTTAGTTTCTAAATACTTTAATAGACATGTTGTACCCTCTGTTACACAAACACTAATCACAATGTGCAGCCAACCTGCGGTCACACTTACTCCTCCCAAAATGGCCTTGACTACCTCCTCGCTGCTAGAGACGCCCCACAGAAGGGTGCAGGCTGCAGCTCCCATCTCTGTGCAATACTCTGCCTGCTGCAGGAGTTGCTGCCTCGCTTCATTCAGCTGCTGTCGAAGGGCCAGTTTCTCCTGACATCAAAACAAAATTAAATCAGAAAATGAACAGCATTCAAAATCTAAATATCTCTGAGACCAGCAGTTAGTGTAATGGCTATGTTGCCAGACTCCCACGTAGTCGACCGCAGTTTGCATCCTGGACCTGGTGGCTTAAAACTCATGCTGGGTGCGTGTGCATGCGTGCTCAAGATCCCAAGAGGAGAATGAAGGAGAAGGGATTGCGGCATGGTCATCCCCCCTGGGGGGTGATTTCTCGCTTTCTGTCTCTCTGTCTCTGTCTGGCGAGCGCACGCACCCTATAGCAAAAACCTCTTTAAAAAAATCTAAATATCTCATTTATGTTTCTTCTTTCATAAGGATATTTATTAAAGAAAAGAAAAGCATGTAGAATTACAGAGCATAGTTGCAAATAAAAACTAGTCCTTAGAGAACCATACTCTATATCTAAAAAATAAACTTTGGAGGCAAAACTAAAACTTATGAAAGAACATACTCTTGCATTATTGTTTATAAATGACCCAAGGTACCTCAAGTCCTACATGGCTGTAACTACAACCAGCATCAACTAGGACTCCTGAATGAAGTAACACCACAGTGGTCTTCACACAGAGAAACATTTCTTGTTTTTTTTTTTTTTACTTATTTAATTTTATTTGCTATTATTATAATTATTTTTAATTTGACCAGACAGAGACAGAGAGAAAGACAAAGTGAGAAAGCAAGCTGCCAGGTCTTGGGACTTGAATCATGGATAGTCATGTGGGAGTCACCACCACACCACCTGCCAGCCCCAGAGCAACATTTCTAATAAAGGAGGCTGATGCCTCCAAATGGCTCACTCCACTATAAAAAACACCATGTGCCAGAAGCAGATACCAAATAAAGGCACTCAGACACCCAATAAGAGTTGAAGAAAAAACCCGCTATAGACTCATTCTAAGTGAATATATTCTTTTTTTTTTTTTTGATAGATTTTTGCTAAAGGGCGCGTGCACTCGCCAGAAAGACAAAGAGAAACAGAGAGATAGAAAGCGAGAAATCAACCCCCAGAGGGGATGACCACACCACAATCTTTTCTCCTCCATTCTTCTCTTGGGATCTTGGGCATGCACACACACGTGCCAGTGTGAGTTTAAGCCACCAGGTCCAAGACTCGAATTGCGGTCGACTACATGGGAGTCCAGCGACATAGCCATTACAGCAACTGCTGGTCCGGAGTAAAGGAGGTTTTTTATCTTAGGGAGAAAAGGGAGCTGTGGGGCCATGAATCAAACATGTTTTACATTGTAATTTGGCATAGGGTGGTCCATTCACATTCAACTAGAGACCATGCATTTGACATACTGAGCTTTACACACATTCATACATATAAAACATTTATCTTGGGAGAAAAATGGCATTGAGTCTTTGACACATGCTAATATTGCTTCATATGACTTATAAACTTTGGGGTTTGCCCCAGACTTGTGATACAGTTGGTAGCAAACTGAACTACAATGCTAGAAAGTCATAGCTATTGTGGGTGTGGATCCCTAGGTGAGGACAAAAACACATTGGATATAAAAGTGCCCAGGATCCTGAAAAGCTGGAGGGCTGGAAAAAGGGGATGGCAATGTGATGGGACCCTGTCAAGGGGCCTCTCCTCCAACCCCATGCACATACATACTATCATGAATAAAATAAATTAAAAACGTCAATGAAAATACTAGGTTTTTAATATCTGACTTCATAATAACAATCTATTGGGTTGTTAGAAAAGTCACAACATATTTTTGCACAGAAAATAAATCATGACTGGGACCAGCAGTTAGCGTAATGGCTATGTCGCTGGACTCCCACATAGTCGACCGCGGTTCGAGTCCCAGACCGGGTGGCTTAAACTCACGCCAGGGGCGTGTGTGTGCGTGCCCAAGATCCCGAGAGGAGAATGGAGGAGAAGAGATTGCGGCGTGGCCATCCCCTCTGGGGGTGATTTCTCGCTTTCTATCTCTTTGTCTCTCTCTGTCTGTCTGGCGAACACATACGCCCTATAGCAAAAATCTCTCCAAAAAAATAAAGAAATCATGACTTTCCTAACAATCTAACAGATTTCTAGATTCATCCTTCAAGTGTATGTAGCTGGTCTCACTCAGGTCATGGTGACATGTGCAAAAATGCTATCAGTGTTTCTTTTAACATTGTTTTTCTTTATTGCCCGAGGACAAGTACACTCACCAGAAAAACAAAGAAACAGGGAGAAAGCACCCCATAATGAGATGTGATCACGTCACAACCTCTTCATCTCTTTTTTTTTTTTAGTTAGATGTATAGATAAGTGACATATTGACACTTAACATCAGTGGACTTTTAACAAAAGTGTCAAAGCAATTCAATGGAAAAAGGACAGTCTTTTCTTTCTTATTTAATTTTTTTAAGAGATTTTTGCTATAGGGCATGTGTGCTCACCTGGAAGACAGAGCGAGACAGAGAGACAGAAAGCAAGAAATCACCCCATGGGGGGGATGGCCACAGATCTTGGGCACGCATGCACCCACACCCGGCCTGAGTTTAAGCCACCGGATCTGAGACTCGAACCACAGTTGACTACATGGGAGTCCAGCAACATAGCCGTTACACTAACTGCTGGTCCCAGGACAGTCTTTTCAACAACTGATGCTATCAGGTTAGTACAAAAGTAATTGCAGTTCTGCACTATTGGAATTTGCCATTTGATATTGGATACATCCTCAGGTTACGCTATACATCAGTTTAATGCAATTTCTCACTTTATTTTTTTGCTAGTGACTTATTACTTTCTTTTATTTTATATATATTTTAAAATGGAAAACAAATTCAGCAATTTTCTTATTCAAGGTCAAAATGGGTCATAAAGCAGTGGAGACAACTCACAACATCAACAACACACTGGCCCAGGAACTGCTAATGAAAGTACAGTGCAGTGGCGGTTCAAGAAGTTTTGCAAAAGGAGATGAGGGCCTTGAAGATGAGGAGTGTAGTGGCAGGTCTTCATAAGTTGACAACAAGCAGTTGAGAGCAATCATGGAAGCTGATACTCTTAACCCTACATGAGAAGTTGCCAAAGAACTCTACATCAACTATTCTACAGTTGCATGGCATTGAAAGCAAACTGGAAAGGTGAAAAAGCTCTATGAGTGGGTGCCTCATGAGCTGACCAAAAATAAAAAAAACTGTCATTTTGAAGTGTTGTCTTCTCTTATTCTATGCAACAACAATTTCTCCATTGGATTGTGATGTGTGATGAAAAGTGGGTTTTATACAACACTTGGCGATGACCAACTCAGTGGCTGGACAGAGAAGAACCTCCAAAGCACTTTCCAAAGTCAAACTTGCACCAAAAAAAGGTCATGGTCACTGTTTGGTAAGGCGTGATCTACTACAGCTTTCTGAATCCTGGCAAAACCATTACATCTGAAAAGTATGCTCAGCAAATTGATGAGATGCACCAAAAACTCCAACGCCTGCAGTTGGCAAGCAGAAAGTGTCTAATTCTTCTTCATAGTATCACTTGACTACACATCACACAACTAACACTTCAAAAGTTGAGCAAATAGGGCTATCAAGTTTTGCCTCATCCACCATATTCACTTGACCTCTCACCAACCAACTACCACTTCTTCAAGCATCTCAACAACTTTTTGCAGGGAAAACATTTTCTCAACCAGCAGAAAATGCTTTCCAAGAGTTCATCAAATCCTGAAGCAAAAATTTTCTCAGCAAAAATATATTGACTGTAATGATTCCTTTTTTTATTCATAATGATGTGCTTAAGCCTAGTTATAATGATTTTAAAGTCATAGTCCAAAATCACAATTGCTTTTGCACCAATCTAATAAAACAATTTCTATTCACAAACAAAAAACATTAATTCAAAATGAATCACAGTCATAAATGTAAAATTTTGCAAAGAAAAGAGTACGGAGAACAACTGTGGATACTGGAGATAGTGTGGAGAAGGGTGGGAAATGGGGAAGGGTAAAAGGAAGGGAATCAAGAGGAGAAAGAAAGAAGCAAAACATTTAAGGAAAAACAAAAATGGAATATTATTTGTTGATGATAATGTGTATGTTAATATCTTTAATTAGACTAATACACAGTGTATTCATGCTGAGAAAATTAATTTTGCATACTGTAATGATACAGTGATTCAATGTATAAAAAATGATATATATAAATAAATTAAAATTTTATATATATATATGTACATATATATGTGTGTGTATCTAAATAAAAAGAAAATCTTTGTGACCATGGGTTAGACAAATATTTCTTATATATCTCAACAAAATCATAATCCATTAAAAATACTATAGAGGGAAGACCAGCCGTTAACGTAATGGCTATATCACTGAACTCCCATTTAGTCGACTGCGGTTTGAGTCCCAGACCTGGTGGCTTAAACTCTTGCTGTGTGCATGTGCATGCATGCTCAAGATCCAGAGAGGAGAATGGAGGAGAAGGGATTGCGGCGTGGCCAACCCCCCTGGGGGGGGGGGTCCCTCTCTGTCTCTCAGTCTCTGTCTTTCTGGCAAGTGCACACGCCCTATAGCAAGGGAAAAAAAAAAAACAACAATAGAGGGACCAGGAGATGATATAATAGTTACGTCACTGGACTCCCAAATGGCCTAACACGGTTGGAGTCCCAGACCCAGAAGCTGAAACTCACGCTGTGTGTGTGCATGCCCAAAATCTCCAAGAGGAGAATGGAGAAGGAAGGGATTGTGTCATGGCCATCTCCCCTGGGGGGAGAGGCTGATTTCTCACTTTGTCTCTCCAGCGAGAGCACACACCCTATAAAGAAAAGAAATGAAAAAAAAAAAATAGATTAAACTCTACCCAGATTTTTAAATTTTATTCTTTAAATACAATTAAGAAAGATAAACCAGGCTAGCCAGTGGTGTAATGGTTAAGGCAGTGGATCCCACATAGTTAACTGCACAGTTCAAAATGGAAGAGATCAGATTGTGGTTTGACCACCTCCACCTCCCCCCACC